AAGTCTACATTTACAATATGTCTTTGATTTGGTTACGCAAGTCTGCGAGCTACGGATTTAATGATTCGTGAACGCCGAAAAAGCTCCGTTCCGCGAGCCACGCCCATGGTTCGTACCAAAAGGAGAGACTTGACGCGAGCCACGAAAGTCTCTCGGTAATCGCTGCAAAAGACAAGCTATCGTTTCGGTTCAGTATAGCAATACTGTTATATTCAGTAATCGCTCCGGATAATAATAATCGAGTGCGGGGTCGCGCGCAAAAGGTCCGGGATTTTATACGAGCGCGTCACACGAACACCGGATTCCCGGTTATACGAGCCAAAAAATTTGTCGAGTCAATCAGCCGCCGACCTACCGAATATTTAATTTGAACTCAGCTGATTTTGGAATCGACAGCCGATCAACTGTTTTCGCTGAAGTCTCTCGCTTTGTCCCGGGTGTTTACTTCGCATACATCAGAAACCCCGAGACAAAAGGAGAGAGCCAGCCTACGTAGAAAAAGAAAGACAGTTTTTTCGTCGCTCGAAGATTCTCAGAATAAAACGCCGGTTATTTCCGAAATAAATTTAAGTTTAGCTTGATATAATATTACGTACAATTCACGTAATCAAGGCAATTCCCGCGGAGATTACGAGATGAATTTACGCGGGGTTTAAGGAGCTCGGTTTGGAACATAATTAGATTTACATATGTTCACAATATCGTATAACAATTATGAAAAAAATTATTGTATTATTAAATATAAAAAAATAAATTATTAAATAATATAATCATGTTAAATATAAATATTATAAAAAAAATAACAATTAAGCGTATTACAAAAAATTTCTTTCTCGTTTTATTACACGATGTGTTGTCGCAAAAGTTTAAACGCATATCACAAAAAGAATACATTTGTAATATTTAATGGTTATTAAAAATCAATTAATTTTAATTTATGTTTTACTGCACATAGTTATCACACAATTATGTAATATGTTATTTATGTTTCAGGCGCCAAATGGCATTCACGACGAAAGATATTGACCCCTACATTTCATTTTAATATATTACAGCATTTTGTTCAGATTTTGATTGAGGAAGGTGAAAACATGACCAAATCTTTAAAAAATGCAGAAGGCACAGTTGTGAAAGATTTAGTACCATTTTTAAGTGAATATACGTTGAATGCAATATGTGGTATGTTATGTTCATAACTGTACATTTTTACTGTAAGTTTTATTCTTATTAATAAGTTAAATTAGATCAAAATCAAATTTTTTTAATTTTAAATATTAATATCACAACATAGATACTGATTCGTACATAATTTTTACAGCCACAGATACTTTTTAAATATATATGATAATATTATCATGATACTTTTACAAATGCTTTTGCAGAAACTGCCATGGGCACTTCTTTACGAGGCCTTGGTGATTTCCAGCAACAGTATCGAGAAGCGGTTCATAAAATGGGCGAACTTCTTACTTACAGGTATAATAATAATTCATTTGTTATTAGATGTAATAAATAACTGTATATCCATATTCTGTCTTAATTAAAATATGAATTCGTATATTGTATAATTATATAAAGAGGTACACTTTCGTTAATTAGAAATTTATACATTACATATCTGTTAAATTGTCTATTTAAACACAAATAGAAATAAATTTAAGAATAAATCGTTAAAAGAAGGTATAATATTTTAACTATATAAAATTTTGCATATCTCTGTAGCATAATTTTATTAATGTTTAAATGTATTTTTTTTTTATATAGTTACTGAAATAGAACTAATTGCAAGAGTGTATTTAAAAAATTAAAGAAATGTGTGTTTCCCAAGTATTATCATTTTCTTAAAGTAACATGCCTAACATTTATTAATTATTTAGAGTAATGAGACAATGGCTGCGCAGCGATTGGATATTCTCGTTGACGTCCAAAGGTAGAGAGCAAAAGAAGTTGCTGAAGATATTACATGGATTTACTAAACGAGTACGCAAAAATGCTACTTAATAGTATATTCATACAGTAGTATCTATTTAAAATTATTACAGCACAAACAAAATTACAACATGATTATTACGTAGAAAAATTAAAATTTGTAAATGTTAACAACACATTACTAATGTATTTATAAAAAAAACCATTAATGTTGTATTTACATAGATAATTGCTGAAAGAAAACTTTATCATGATCGTACTAATGGGCAATACTTAAAAAGCTTTGATAATGACACGTCGGCAAAGAGAGATGATGGAGAACCGGTAGGAAGTACGTAATGTAATCGGGAGTTATTCTTTAAATCTAGTTGGTTCAATATTATAAATTATATTTTACAACTCATGAATATTATACTTATAGTTTAAATTCTTAACGTAGTCAAGTTAATAAAAACGTCACAGAAGAATTTGGCTGTTAATTTGATATAAACATGTTTATATATTTCGATTTAGTACGAAGAAAACGACTTGCAATGTTGGACCTTTTAATAGCGGCATCTCGTGATGGCTTTATGACTGATTTAGATATTCGAGAAGAAGTTGATACTTTTATGTTGGAGGTACATAATTTCTTTTTAACCATTTTTATTCATTATTATTTGATTCATCGGTTTATGATAGATTGATGTATACAATTATATTATAGGGTTATGACACTACAGCGGCGGGTCTGTGCTTCATTTTGGCACTATTAGCTGAACATAACGACATTCAGGTATACATCGTCCAGTATGAGCCGCCATTCTTAGGCAAATAAATTAATTGTTAACAGAAGTTATTTATTAACCCTCCGTCTGTATACGTAAGTCTATGTCGTCCGAGCCAAAATGATATCTGCTCATACATATATAACTTGCAAATCTACCAAAAGATATTAAATAAACGATGTTTATCAAAATGATTATAAAATTGTTAACTACAATGTTTCATGATTTTTTTCAGATTTTTAAAAATACTTTATGCTAGAGAAAAATCGCGTCGAACGTGATAGACCCACTCCGACTGTGCAAAAAAATGTATACAGACGGAGGATTAAATATGAATCAATATCAACCTCTTAAATGTTTTTAAAAGTGTGTATGTGTACACAATTTGCTTTCTTGCATTAAAAGATACAGAAAAAATGCGCGCGCGCGCATGCGTATACGCACACGTAAGCGTACGCACATATTTCAAATATTCTTTTATATCTGAATTGTAATTTATGTACACATATTTCAAACACGGATTAATCAAAACATTTGTAAAATAAATATTCTCGAAATATATTCGTTTCTACGTAAAAATAGCATAATAACAAAAGACGCCTTTTAATTAACAATAATCATACAGGATCGTGTCAGGAACGAAGTCGATACAGCCTTGCGAGAGAATGAACAGAAGTATACTATAAAATTATTGCAAGACCTACCATATTTGGAAAGATGTATAAAGGAAGCATTGCGCTTATATCCTAGCGTGTATATGCTATCACGAATTACTGCGGAAGACGTAAAATTACGTATGCATTTAACCAACTTTTTCTTGTATAAATTTTTTAATATATTACGCAACATGTCAACAAATGTATGAAGTAAATACGCATAAAAGGCAATATTTCCATATATTTCAAAAATTTAAAAATTTGTATATTTTTATTAAAGTTTATTTCTATAATATTTCAAAATTTTAAATACGTACGAAGCTCCATCTAATATAATATTTAAAAAAAAATAATGTTAAGCAAGTAATGCTTAATACAATTTAAATAATAATTGTATTATATTTTTTATCATGCAAACTATAAGCAACTATTCCTATGTTGTATTAGATGTATATTCAATTTTAAAATTTGAATACAGCTTAAATTTTATTATTTCTAAATCTTAATTATTGTACGATATGCTTTTTAGAGTCATATTTGGTACCGGCTGGAACATTCTTGCATCTTAACATTTACGGAGTCCACAGAGATCCTAACTTTTGGTCAAATCCAGAAGTATTTGATCCTAACAGATTTTTGCCTGAAAAAATCCGAAATCGTCACCCTTATTCGTATTTACCATTCAGTGCTGGACCACGTAACTGCATCGGTAAGCTGTATTTTTTATATCTTGATATAATACCATGTTATATTAACATAGGATATGTACCAAATTATAGGTCAACGGTTTGCTATGTTGGAAATGAAAGCGATGATAGCTCCTCTGATACACAATTTCTACTTGGAGCCCATTGATTATTTAAAGAATCTTCGGATACAGGTTGATTTGGTACTTTCCTCTGCTCAACCACTTCGTGTAAAATTTATCCCTGTCTGTAAAACAAATGCAAGCCTTTGAAGCACGAATGAAATATCGATTTAATGAAAATCATAAAACGCAAAAGAAAGGTTTTATTTTTTTACAAAATGATTGTCAACGTCGTAATAATAGCACTATGTTCACGTGTTATTATTGGTCACAAAATTAAAATATAAATAGAATGTATTAAATATATAAAATATATGTATTTATAGTGGTCAGCCGCGATGACTTTGTAACATATACAACCATAAGATTTAAATTAAAATAGCGCTTAGAATAATCAATGATTCAAAAGATTATTAGAACTTTTTGTCACATTTTGATTTAATATTTATTAAAATATTTGTAAATTTTTCAAAAAAAATCTTTATAAAACTAAACTTTCACGGTATCAGATTAATTTGTTTTCTCTAATGATTATTTTTAAATTGTTGAAATAAAGCGATCCAAATAAACGGGAAGAAATGATTAATTTACACAAATAGTAATGCTTACTGCAAAGTTGTTGAACTGGCGTCAGGTGTACTTCCAGGCTTTTTCCTCCATCTGTTCACAGATTAACAGAACTTCTTCTCATTCGCATCACGATGCAAAGTTATACTAACCATAACACAAATCTGTAACTTATGCGAAAATAAAAATAATGTCTAAAATAAATATATAGAGAACAAATTTTTGCATGCAAGTACCATTTTGGACCTCAGGGTCCGTATGATCAGATGCTACATATTCTCTACCCTGTTATACGGTTGCGAAAGCTGGACTCTTGACCCAAATACGGAATAGAAAATAGATGCTTTCGAGATGTATCTGTACCGTCGTATGTTGCGCATATCATGGGTAAATAAAATAACCAATGAGGAAGTCCTTAGCCGTATGCATAAGCAGAAAGAACTCATGTTGACAATCAGGGAGAGAAAGACGAGATATATAGGATAGGACACCTGATGCGAGGAGAAAGATACGAACTCATGCGACTGATCATCCAAGGCAAGATTCAAAGGAAGAGATCCATCGGCAGGCGCCAAAATTCCTGGCTGAAAGACATCGGAAGATGGTTTGGCTGTACTTCAGTGGACATCTTTCGCATGGCCGTATCTAAGACTATGTTGGCCATTTGGATCGCCAACCTTCGAAAGGAGACGGCGCCGCGGCGTCATAAGAATAAGAAGTACCATTTTACTCGTAATTCCAAGATATTTAATAAAAAAATAATTTCTTAATGATATTGCTCTCTCAATGTATATAAACTTTGATAAGAAAAAATCTAATTTTAATACACGTGTGTAACTTAAATTGTTATAAATTTTAAACATTGAGAAATATTTTATATATATTTATTAATATTGATCATATGTCATAAATACTTTACTAAATATTTTGAAAATCTTCATAAATATAATTTAGAGAAGACCGGGGCTCGTTGGCACAAGAGGCAAGTTGGCAGTGCGTTCCGTTTATGCATTTATAGCAAAAGAAATAATGGAAAAGTCATCACAAAATATCTCTTTTATGATATAGGTACTTTTTCCAAAGTTTTAATAAATCAAACAAGTGTTACAATAGAAAAAGAGAAAACTCTAATTCAAGAGGTGGCAAGTAAATTTTCGAACGTTTCAAAATATCGTATTAACCTCTTCAGCTTGAGAAGTAAATCAAAGTGACGTATTATTAGTTAAAAAAAAAATTTCTGTTACTATACGACATGTCATTTTGAGGAACAACAGTAATTTATTGTAAGAAAATGACTGAAATCATAAGGATGGGGTATGTTGACTCATATCAATTAAGGCATGCTTAGCTTAATTTGTTGTTGCCGCGCGCGTGAGACCTGTGTAAGCATGTGATTTGCTATCTATCCAGGTAGCAAACACAAGTCATTTTGACGTCAAATACCAGTCATGTTTGTACAAATGACGTCAAATGATCAAAAAGCGACTATGTCTTTAAAAATGACATTATACTGACATTATTCCATAACGTCATTAAAATGTCTATTTTTAGTCATTTTTGGTCTATGACATCGGCGACTAATAATGGACGTTTATATAAGACGTCATTTCTTAGACCATCTGTCCCATATTTGAACATCTAAAGACGTCATTTTAAAGACGTCTTAAAGTCGTCGAAATAAGGTCTTTTTGTAATATAACTATTTTTACTTCTTAATATTGTATAACAAAGTAATAATAAAATAAAAACCACAAAATTAACTACAATATGTTTGTTTCGCAACTTTATGATTAAAATGGCGAATTTATGGTATAAGAAGATGTAGTTGCGTGTGATTATACAGTTTTATAATAACTATTTCATGCAGTGTTATAGCTATCAAAAAGATTATCATTACAAGATTTTTGAACATTTTAAAAATGTACCTGTTATAGACAAGTACAGTTAATAAGGAAGCGCGCATCAGGGTGAAAAGATCGTCACTGTCCATTGGATCATCAAAGTCAAGCGACTCGGGCGCGGTGGTACTGTACTAGGATGAGTGACCACCTTGAGAGCGGCTATACGCACATGACATGTAACGAAACAGTTAAAAAAGATTTTTTTTTTAGATAAAGAAAAAGAACATTTTTTTTTATAAACGTTTATCAAGTAGACATTTTAACATTCTAATTTCATAAAAAACATTTCTAGAAACCGGTATGTCGTACAATGGACCTATTTTTGCCGTCAATAAGACGTCAGAAAATGACGTCAATTGTCTGTGACATTAGATCATCATTTTAACATCATTATGCCGTCAGTTAGTGACGTCAGGAATGGTCAGTAAAGGACCAAAATTTGACGACAAAATAAAATGACTTGTGTTTGCTACCTGGGTACGATGCTGATAGAAGCTAGATATATATTTATATAAATATTTTTATATGGAAGAAAGCTATATCTAAAATAGTTTATAATTATTTTTCTGCAACAGCATTTTGCTATTCGATCATTATAAAACAACATTAAAAGATACAATCTTTCATATCTGTTACCCGTTTTGTGTTTCTATTACGTCTTTATTAATTTAACATGGACTTATGTCGCATAGCCAACTTACCCTACTATCGGGGCAAGTTAGCTACAATGCAGCATGTTCGTATTTCAATTATACAGGGTGTTCCATAAGTCGAGGTCATTCGCTCGGGAGATGAAAAGGGAATAAAAAACGAGCCTGGCCTCTTGATTTAGATGAGGAAGGACAAATGACACGAGAATTTTTATGTAGAGAGAAATTGTGTACTTCGGTTTAATTCTTGTTTCAAAGTACTTAATCGCAGTTTGATTATCACGTACTCAATATAAAGTAGGGGAGACCGGGGCTAAGCCGACACTATTTTTTCAAAGGCAATTTTTAATATTTAATTAAAATTTTTAGGCAAATTCAATGATATACACTGGGCAACAAAATTATCGCAACAAAAATTTTCGTCAAAAATTTGTCCAACTTCAAATAAGCACAACTCCGCGAAAAATTGTCATATTTGAAAGTTTTTTTTTTATTTTAAAGGGTGAAGTCTGTACTTTAAGGAACCATAGTCAGATTTTGAATTTAGCCTTTCCCCATCCCGCCGTTCTTCCAAAAGTAAGGACGTGTTACGTCTCCAAAAAATTGCATACTTTGACACATTCTACGGAGTAGAATAAATTTTTTTCGTAACTATTATAGCAACCATCGTAAAATATAGACTTTTCCCTGCAAATTAAAAAAAAAAAATAAGTCCGTACGATTTTTTTTCGCCAAGTTATGGCTGATCAAAGTTACCTATGCATTTTTGTGCATTCAATCACCGCCAACATTAGCATTACCCGATGGACACTACGGGAAGGTTGCTGGTCGGATTTTGCCCATTGTGTGTGTGCGTGCGTGCGTGCGTCGTGTTAGCAGAGATTTGCACAAACTAATTTTTATTCAAACGAGGCATTGTTACGATTTTGTCTTTTGTTTTCCGAATGAGCAATACAATACAGTGACTGCAATACTGTGAAGTTTTGTAATACTGAAGTAAGTAACTTCACAGTATATTACTTCTCTAAGTAACTTCACAGTATATTTACTTCACAGTAAATTACACTATAACTTAGAATGTTACCAAATTCCGTTGATAATACTGGCACATAAAGACGCATTTACAGTGGCAAAGGCAAGTTTCTACGATAGATTTAAATTGGCAAAAAGCCTAGTGTCAAGTTCGCCCCGCTGTCGGCTTAGCCCCGGTCTCCCCTAATATAATTATTCTTGACGTAGTCAAGCACAGAACAAATGGTTAGAAATCAAAGAAAGAATCCTTCAAGTTATTCACACAAAACAATATAAATGAGTATCATTGCACAGACAATTAACACAATAATTGAAGTAATATATGCATCAATCTATCGTTTAGATCATTAATAATCGTCATCGGCCTCATGAACAATCGTTACTGAGGTTCCTTCCATGAAAGAAAGGTTTCTGATTTCAGAAAAGTAAAGTATTTAATGCAATAGTATAAATCGACTGAGTTTACTGATTTATAATAGTATTAGGCTTTCAATCTTTGATTGACACATTAATTCGGTAAAGAGAACGCAATATCCAATATTAATAATTCGCAGAATAATCAAGGTTAGAATACAATAATATATATATTGAGAGATATTATCAAAACGCATGAAAACGGTTAACATATGTTATCGCAAGTAAAGTTATTATAAACGAATCGTGAGTGCTACGCATGTACGCACCGTAATGTTACCAAGTAAAGAATATAAGTAAATATCTATTGGGAGATATTCTCAAAAAGCAAGCAAACGATTAATATATATATTATCGCAGATAATGTATTAGAAACGAGTTTTAAGTGCGAAGCACGTACGCATAAGAACCCAGTCAGAAAAGTAACCTTGATTCAAGGTTAATTCAACGTCGATATGGTTGACAGCTGGTTGAGTCGATAAGAAAGTCGATATTCCTGCAATATCGATCATGTCCAGTGTCGATTCAAGGTTGATTCAACGTCAAAGCGATTAATAGCGCTGTTTTGAGTGCGCACTTATAAAATTCGATCAATTTAGATTTTAATCCTAAAAAATATTACGGCATTGTTTATGTAAATTGTACAAAATAATTTTATGGACGTTTAAGAAATGGCGTACCGAGTCGAAATTTTTCTCCTATTTTCGACCTCAATGTTCAATATAACACCTACTTTCGACCAAAATGTTCGACCTAACACCTACTTTGATACTATAAGCAGTCACATCACCCTATTTTGAACCTCTTCAACCTCTGGCTCCTATTTAGAATCTGACAATTCTGTTTGAAAAGAAATCATGCTCCTACTTTAATGTTCCTAACGTTTTCTTAATTTATTTATTGCATTTAGTTTATTTTTATTATTATAGGTTTATTATATTTTCGATTAAATATTATATATGATTTATTAAACGTTTATAATAACGTTTATAATAAATGTTTATAATAACGGTTCTCTCTATTTATTAATTTAATCAAAAATAGTAAAAACAAAATTAAAAGGAATTTTATTAGGTTAATAATAATAGTTTTATTATTGATAACTAAAAAAAATTATTTTATATATGACGTATAAATGATTATTTATATAAAATTGTATTTTTCTATATTATTTTTTCCTTCTTTCTCTCTTTTTTCTTTATTTATTAAAATAATTCAAAATAAAATTAAAAGAATGTGTGTATGTATGAGTACGCATGCGTATATGTGCAACTAAAGGTAGGAAATTTTAAATATATACAAAACTATTACAAAACATCTTTCTTTTTGTTATTACTTCTTATAATTACTTATCTTCATATATTTACATATTACTAAATTTACGATAATTGAATATGGACTGGTATTTATTTATTCAAGCTCTTGCCCAATCAGCAGACAATGTTTTTTAAATGTGTTTTTAATATTCATTTTTTATTAATTATACATTTGTAGAATTCATTGTAAAAATAATATTTATTTAATGTTTATTAAATATTTATTTCACATTGATTATTTATTTGAAGTAATAATTTAGAAAAAATATTTATTAAACGTTTATTTAACGTTTATTTAATATTTGTTTTACATTAGTAAGTTATTTGCAATAAGTTAAAAAAACATTTATTTAACATTTATTCGACATTATTTTAATATTTATTTTACATTAACTATTTATTTGCCATAATGAATTGAAAAAACATTTATTTAACATTTATTCGACAGTAATGTAATATTTATTTTACATTAATTCTTTATTTGCAATAATGATTTAAAGAAACATTTATTTAACATTTATTTAATATTAATTTAATATTTACTTCAGAAATTGCGCTCAAATTCCTTCGCGTTTTGCAAACGCCCGATCGTTTCATTCAGATGTAGATGGCGCGACGCGTGAGTCGCCACTTTCAAAGCGCCCCCACTCCTTCCTCGCTCGGCTCGCTCTCGTTCAGTCAGTTCAATGTCATGGCCGCTCTTGCTGCGTTTCTTCGGACGAGACGAGTACGTTTTCCTTCTTTCGTAACTGATTGAGCTAAGCGGCACATATTCTGGAGACCAACCGAGCGAGATTCGACTTCCCAAGGAGAGCTCACCGCCAGGAAAAGGAGAGCTGCGGCAGCTCGCGCCCGAGAGGGAGAATTGAGGCGAGGAGTCCGGTCCAGCGAGCAGGGCCCTTCCAATATTCTCATTTGGGACGCCATATTGGAAGATCGACATTGTTCGTAGTAGTACAAGGAGCTCTGCAAGGTTAATCTCGTCTTGAGATCTTGGAATTGCTCTTATTCTTGTTACTCTGGTTTATATTTTGGCCCTAGAATTTATCTCGTAGACAAATGCAGAGGCCCCCCTCTCTTTTCTTCTCTTTTCTTTTCTTACTTTGATTTCAATCGGTAATCCAGACTCTTTAATTCCGTATTATTAATATTATTTGTTAAATGGCATTTGTGATATGCGATTAGTTATTTGGTATTAAGGTATTAATTTTAAGTTTTATTAGTATTAAGATATTTCATTTTAAGATACTCACAATCAGTATCAAGACATTTTTCAATTTTAATTTTAATTTTGTTGAAACTAAATTTTAATTTTAATTTTTATTAAGATACAATACATATATTAATTTTAAATGGTTAAAAAAAATTTTTTTTTTCGTTATGATATAATATGAGTTTAATTTAGATAGTATGCAAGAGTACATGAACAAGTAGATAAAAAAGTGTAAACAAATAAATATATGTTCCTTTGTACCTTAGAAACAAACGTGTGCGATCTCTTAGATTTTTTCTGACTCTCCCCCCTATATGCTATTTACCACATTATCATATTAACATGCTCTATGTCATGTATATTATCGGTGACTTGCAGTGGAGTTTTTATTTAAGTTGTGTTTCATATGGTTAATAAAAAAAAGATTTATTATATAAATTTTATAACATTATTAATTGTGATACATGTATGTCTATATGTATCTGATTAATTAAAATTGTGATTAATTAAAATTAAAATTAACAATGTTATAAAATATTTTGCGGCAATATTTTTTTAATATTAAAAATCTTAGATTCTAAATAATAAATCTAGATAAATATTGCATTTAACAGAGCAACGAGATACGACAACATAAGTCAAAGTCACAACCGTATCTCGTTGCTAAATTTACCAAAACCTATACTATATGAATTATCGATGATGTACGTGATATGGAACATGTTTCATTACGATTTAAAAAGTAGTAAAAATTAATACATTGATAATAAAATGTACTACAATAAATGTTTTCTCCAATAGTCCTAATAAAGTATTCTTTTGAATTCAGTAAATATTTTATTAGGTTTAGAAAATTTGTTTCAATTGGATGAATATTTTTTTCATTCGAAAAATATTAACTGAATTAAAAAAATACTTTATAAGGACTACTGGAGAAAACATTAATTAAAATTTAGTACATTTTTCTATCAGTGTAGGATCTAGAGGGTTTTAGGAGGTTTAGGAGGGTTTTACCGATAACTCCTCTTTTAAACCTCAAAATGGGAAACAGTCCGTTTTCTGCCGTTTTCAGGCACAAAGTAGGAGCTAAGTACAATACAATTAGAACCTATCAAAATCCTTTAGAATCCTGAGATGTGAAAAATAAGAGGTCGAAAGAAGGAGTAAAATTTCGACTCGGATTGTGCGATCAATCACATATGTATAAATAATATATATAAATTTTATATTTAGAACCTATCCAGACAAACACTGCATATATAAAAAAATATAAAATGTATAATATACTATATTTCAATCGAATTTTTCAACCTTCGACGTTGAAACGACGTTGAAACGATAAGTTGAATAGTCGGTGATATTTTATACGCTTTCGACGTCGAATCGACCAGAATTATGACGTTGATTCGACATTCGGTTTTCGACATTGATTCAACGTCGAATCAACTAATCATTTCTGACTGGGAAAGGAATTAAGTGAATAATCTATAAGTCTCGTGTTTATCATGTAATATCAATCGCACAACAATTAGCAATTTACATCCTTTAATCGTTATTGAAATGGTTACAACCGCGAGAAAAGATTATTGAATATATTTAGACTGAGCTCAGTTTTAGTAATTGACTCGACATTACAAGTGCGCGGCTCTTCTATAATAGATAAAATATCCCTCTTAACTTGCTCTCGAGATTTCTGAAAGTGAGAATGGTCACTATAAAAGTATCGGAGATCCTTCGTGTAACGTTAGACGGGCGTCTAACTTCCTCTCTCAAATAGACCAAAGGCGGTTACCTTATAATTGAAGCTCTCCTCAAATATGACATTCAATTAATTATTAAAGATCGCAATGACTAAGCCAAGAACAGATCTCTTGATGTTTCTCAATAGCTGCTTTCCTCGTGTCAGAAAGGCTTTCCAAAACGTTCCACAATGGCTGCTTGACTCAAGCCGGAGAAGCTTTCCAAATCGGTCCACAATGGCTGAATACTGCAACGACCGTCCTTTTATCTCTTTTGAGCTGAGTGTTTGACTAACACTTATTTGCGTTCGATATCACAATAGTTCAGTCAAAATACGATTAGACCTAGAAAAAATTGCAACACAAGGTTTTATTACGTCATTGTGTTTAGAAAAATATACTGAACAACATATTCAAATTCCGCCATTTTCTGCTATTCCTAAGTATGTTTTTTATTAACAATTTATAAACAAATTTGTTTTTCTCCACAAATACGATGAATTTTGAAATTTTTGCAGAGATTAAAATTGTAGAACAGACAAATATCTACAAAAAATGTGCTTATGAATTTTTTGAAATATCTCATATTATTTGAGATATTTGCAACAAGAGCTACTAGGCTACGCGCGGAGCGGAGCGGAGAGTTCTAACGAGCACACGGCAGTCTCTATATCGGTCGCTGCTAGTTCTCTAGGTTCTACAAGGAACTTGAGTTGGTTCTCGATACTAGTATATGTGTCTATGTATACACATATATATATATATATATATATATATATATATATATATATACATATATATACATATATATATATGTATATATTTGGTTTTATACAAAAAAATTTTTTACCGGATTTTGAAGAGGTATTTTCGTGTCATTAACGTTTTAAAGAACATAAAAAATTTCATCAATTACCTGCTATTATACAAATAACATGATGTAATAAATATTGTATTACAAGTATTACAGTCACATTTAACTACTGCTCAACACTTAGCGAGGAGTTTAGGTTTGTTAGAGTTTATTAAATAATACTTATCCGTATGCATGTTAGTGCAGTCCGCAAACTTTAGCTTGCTCCAATTTAATACCTTTGTGAGGATTCTTTCGTTCTGAAAACTACGTTAAGATTAAATTAATTTAAGTTAAATTAAAAGTTAATTTTTTAATAGCATTATTTATATTAAATTCCAATGTTGTAATTTTTTCAACAGCGCAAATAACCGACTAAGAATCTGTCAGAAGGCAATGAAGCGAGCAATGCTGAAAATCAGCCTGACGCGGACGGATAAAATCCGAAACGAACTGATAAGGAAAAGAACAAGAGTTGCCGACGTGGTTGAACGAGCAAGTAGACAAAAGTGGCAATGGGCGGGACATGTTGCGAGAAGCAACACCAAATGGACCAAGGTCCTGATGCAATAGAGACCAAGAGAGTCCAAAAGAAGCATTGGCCGGCCACAAACGAGATGGCGAGATGACATCCAACGCTACGCAAGAAAGAGGTGGATGCAGACAGCACAGGAGAGAAAGACATGGAAGGAAATGGAAGAGGCCTTTGTTCAGGAGTGGATGAAAACAGGCTAAAGAAGAAGAAGAAGAATTTTTTAAAATTGTATTACTTTGAATAACAAAAGTTTGCAATGTGTATCATCAAATAAATTTAATTATTAAATAAATTTAATATTTTATTTGTAATAGAATTGTGAATAGAATAGTGTAATAGAATGTAATAAAATTTTTTCTTTTACAATTATGAAAAACTGTTGCGATCCGTGTTTATTGGTGTCGGCTTATGCTCGGGTTGAAGAAGTGCCACGCTTGTATTTCTCGAGTACTTTAT